GCCCCTGTAGTTATCACAGTTGCTGAGATCGCTTTTCTTTGGTATTTTGATCAGAAGTCCTTCTTTCTAGTCTATCGGTACTTGTTCCTCATCCTAAATCTTATTGAAGAGAATGTGGAGTATCCTTGCAGTTGCCGAAATGTCTGCTTCTAGTGCTTCTGCTGGAATGTTGTCTGGTCCTGCTGCTTTGACACTCTTGATTTGTCTGATGGCCATGCTGATTTCTTCAATTGTGGGTGGGCCAACACTGATTGGGAGGTTCGTGGGTTCTGCTTCGATGTTGGGTGGATTCACTGGGGCTGCTCAATTCAAGAGTTCTTTGAAGTGTTCTACCCACCTGTTTTGTTGCTCTTCAATGTTGGTGATTACTTCGCCTTCCTTGCTTTTCACTGGTTGTTCTGGTTTGCGGCGATTTCCAGAGAGTTTCTTTGTCGTGTCATACAATTGTCTCATGTTTCCTTCTCTTGCAGCCTTTTCCGCCGTCGTTGCTAAATCTTCTACATATTTACGTTTGTCGGTTCTGATGCTCCTCTTCAGCTTTCTTGTTTGCTTCTGTGTATTCAGCTTGTGCCTTGGCTTTTTCTGCTCTTGTTCGACTGGTATTGATTGCTGCGTTCTTGTTCCTCCTTTCTTGAATCTTATCCAATGTATCAACAGTGATCCATTCCTTGTGATGGTGCTTCTTGTGATCCGGGACCTCATGACATGTTGAAGTGATTGCCTCTTTGATCCCCTTCCAGTTGCTCACCATAGTAGTTTCTTCTCCATTGAGTAGATCATGAAAGGCCTGGAACTTATTGCTGAGGACTATCTTGAATTTGTTGAGTTTGTCAGTGTCCTGAAGAAAGGCCGTATTGAACATTTGTGGTGTTGTCCACCCCATTGTCCAGTGCTTCTTGAGTTTCAATTTCATCTTGGCAACCAGCAAGTGATGATCTGAGGCTATATCAGCTCCTCTCTTTGTTTTGACGTCCTCCACCGTCCTCCTGAACGTTTTGTTGATGCGGATATGGTCGATTTTGTTTTGCGTGGTGTGATCCGGTGAAGTCCATGTGGTTTTGTGCATGCGTTTATGTGGGAATATGGTGCCGCCTATGACCAGTTTATTGAAGGCACACACGTTTGCAGATCTCTCACCATTTTCGTTTCTTTCTCCTAGTCTACATCGTAGCATGATGTCTTCATATCCAGTGTTGTCCGTTCCAACCTTGGAATTGAAATCTCCTATCAGAATGGTCAGGTCCTTTGTTGGGCACTTCTCGATAATCGACTACAGCCTATTGTAGAATTGATCTTTAGCTTCTTCATTGTAGTCGTTGTTAGGCGCATAGCATTGGATGATGTTCATTGAAATGCCCTTTTTCTTTGTTTTGAAGGAGGCTTTGATGATCCTTGGTCCATGACATTCCCATCCTATAAGCGCATTTTGCGCTTGTTTAGACAGCATCAATGCAACTCCTTGTGTATGTGGTGCATTTTCTTCTTTATGGCCGGAGGATGACAGAAGCTCTCCTGAAGTTAGTCGTTGTTGTCCAACTTGCGTCCAATGTGTTTCACTGATCTCAAGTACCTCTAGGTTGTATCTCCTCATTTCTGCAGCAATTTGTAAGGCTCTACCGGTGTCCCACATTGTACGAACATTCCATGTACCTAAATAAATGGTCGCTCTGGTTGTTAGAAGGGGCATCGGCCTCGTAACTTCCGAAGAAATTCGGCTTTCATCATGAGGCGTCATAGTTCTTCTAAAAGAAGACCTTCTGTCTCCCAGGACAGAGTTTAGAAGGTTTGAATAATTTTTTTGGTTAGCGTTTTTTAGCGAGTTAGTTTTCTACGGGATGGGGACGCTAACCCCATGCCCAACCCTCCTCCTTTATCCGGGCTTGGAACTGGCAGTAGCCCCCGGAGGGACTTCAGGCATAGTTAAATAATACCAAGTGACATATATAATCAAACGTTTTAAAAACAAAAGACTGACCAAAACCCATAATCGCCAAGTCTGATGAAATTATGTGAATGACGTTTAAGTCGGTATTGGGTGTTATTACAATAATGAATCCCGACATTTTTGAGCTGTCATATGCGACCACCTAATCGATGAGATCTTACGTGAAAGTCACATTGCAGAATGATGGTCTAGTTCGATATTTGTACATTTATCTTTGCTACTATAATGATAGTAGTAATCCTAAAATTGTGGATTTTTGTTTGGGATACCAGATACCTAGACTTAGATGTCGTATCTTCACAACCTTTTTGGCAATTCGAATTTCTCATTTTCGCATCAAAGGTGTCCTTTATTTCAGATCGTGTTTCCTACTTGAGAAAACCTTAGATGTCATCGGTCCTTTTTCTCTTCGTTACGCTATTTTGTGACATTTATCAGTGACATTTTTGTTCTGTATATGTACGCTTGAGTTGTGTGCTCGTTCTTTCGTGTTTCCAAGCTACTCGTGAAATATACTTTTCCCTCGTTTGAAGTTGGTCTTCTTCATCCAGTTAGCATGGCTGATGCTCAGTGAATAGTTAAGCTTGTCTTATTCTTCGGTTGTTGACTTCGTTCCATTCTCCGGTTTCGACTATATCATCATTTGCTCTTCAAACGTAGCGACTTTTCATAATGTAACTACATAACCTATAAGATCATACGTGAAAGTCGCAACATAGTCTGCACTGACTCGCTTCATCGTGACAGTCAGCAAGGATTGTTTGGCTGAGAAAAAATACCACTATGAAGTTGAAATTACTGAAATCAAACCTACGTCATAGGATCTTCCCTTCTTGATCCTAGAACTTATTGTACTCATCCAGCTCACCTGGTAGTTCTCCCTTCAAATAATGAGTCTGGACCATACAAAACAACTCCACTTGAAGCCCCTCTGGGGTTACTGTCGGTCCGAATCCCGGATAAAGGAAGATAATTGAATATGAGATTAGCGACCCCATACCGCAGAAAACTAACTCGCTAAAAAACGCTAACCAGAAAAAATAATTCAAACCATTTAAACTCTGCCCTGAGGGTCACAAGGTCTTCATTTATATGAGTTACGACGCCTCATGGTGAAAGCTGACTGGATCGACTGGATTATGAAGACGTCAACATCTGAAGGGAAGCACGAGATACAATGGACATCTAGGATGCAGTTGGACGATCTAGACTTCGCAGATGATCTAGCCCTTCTATCTCAAACGCAACAACAGATGCAGGAGAAGACGAACAGTGTGGCAGCAGCCTCAGCAGCAGTAGGTCTCAATATATACAAAGGGAAAAGCAAGATTCTCCGATACAACTCAGAATGCACCAATCCAATCAAAATTGACGGAGAAGATTTGGAAGATGTAAAAACCTCTACATATTTGGGCAGCATCATTGATGAACAGGGTGGATGTGATGCAGATGTGAAGGCGCGGATCGGCAAAGCAAGAATAGCATATCTATAGTTGATGAACATCTGTAACTCACAGCAACTGTCAACCAACACCAAGGTCAGGATTTTCAATACAAATGTCAAGACAGTTCTACTGTGTGGAGCGGAAACCTGGAGAATTTAGAAAGCGATCATCCAGAAGACATAAGTGTATATTATCAGCTGTCTACACAAAATATTTCGGATCCGTTGGCCGGACACTATTAGCAACAACCAACTGTGGGAGAGAACAAACCAGATTCAAGCGGAGGAAGAAATTAGGAAGAAGTACTGGAAGTGGATAGGACACACATTGAGGAAAGCACCCACCTGCATCACAAGACAAGCCTTCACATGGAATCCTCAATGCCAAAAGAGGAGAGGAAGAGCAAAGAACACAGTACTCCGGCAGATAGAGATAGACATGAGAGAAATGAACAAGAATTGGATGGAACTAGAAAAGAAGGCCCAGGACAGAGTGGGTTGGAGAATGCTGGTCGGCGGCCTATGCTCCACTGGGGATAACAGGCGTAAGTAAGTAAGCAACCATATGAAACACATAAACGAATAACTTCGAAAAGTTTTTAGTCAATTAGTTAATCAGCAAAATGTAACACGACAAAGGAGTGAAAATTGTCAAAGAACAGAATAAGTTTATACCTACCAAACTAGGAAGGTAAATTGGTTGTCTAATGTTTGAATCACTCAGTCGCATAAAATGAAGCAGCCAAGAAATTTCGTACAAATCTTGTGCTGTAAGACATCAGGTGGTTAGTCTGTAGGAAAAGAAACTTTACTAACGATCTTGATTTCTAATAGAACCGTTGTAAGCTAATTTATTCCAGGTAATTCAAACTATGAGTTGCAAGTGAAACAAACAATATGGCTTCCTCTCAGTTTGAATGGTACTTAGAACAAAGTAAACACAGGAATTAAGAACCCCACGAATACGATAACCCACCAAGATAATTAAATAATGAGTAGAGTGAATAGTAGCGAATTCATCTAGGATCAACAAAAAACTTAATATACCGATACAAGAACTAATCACGATTTCTCGAGTGTAAAAATCAAAGTTTCATCGTCATAATAAGGTGTACACATGACAGATTTTGATGAATAAACAAGATCCACAACCCTGCACTGAAAGGTTAGTATTTATGATTTTATGAAGATGAGAAAATATTTTTACTATCTAAAAGACAAACTTGTATTATTAAGTGTTCTTTGACGTTAAACGTATTTAAAGCATACTCTCATTAAATATCAAATGACATTTACTTTTAAAGGAAAATATTACATGGAGTTAAAACTAAAATAAAAAAGGCAAAATCATATTTTCTATAAAGTATGATTGTGTATTTCTATTTGTTTGACAATAACAGATTTCAAAAAATGTTGGCAAATTAACAACATACAAATTTGGATGTTATTTTATTGGCAGCACTATAGGACTTGTGATTTTCTCGCACATCAATTTGACATTTCAAGTGATTATGTGCAATTCATTATTTTTATTTCGAATATTCTTTCACCTGATTATTTCTGTGGATTGTATAAAATCTAAAAGAGCGATTACATGTAAGTTTTATAGAATTAATTAAATCTCAAATCCTTATAACGTTTCAGTAAACTAATAATACTTGTAATATACGTAGTTGTAGTGCGTACTACTCTAGGACATTCTGCTCTTTCGAAATTTCCTTTAACCATTTCGTAGTACTTCCCATCACTAAGAGTTAAAGACTTCAATCGAGGACATTTGATTCTGAAACAAGAAAATACGAAGAAGGTCTGTATTAAATGTACAGATGATAAAATATCCTAGACGAACTTATGTAACAGTATCCAAGTTTCTCAAATCATAGAGGAAATGAATATTTTTACTTTACTTCTTATTAATAACCATGGGGTAATATTTTCGACAGTGCTTAATAATGTCAAATTGGATGGGAGTGTTGTCTTATTCGGGAATCGTCTGCTAGATATTTTCGGATCACAGTGATGATATTCGTAGTGAGAATTGAACCCAGAACCTATTGCTTCAATATGAAGAAGATTTTTCACTAAGCTTCTGAGTCATAATTGTTATATCAATCATTTAATAGGATGTGAAATTAATACTCTGAATTCTACTGCTAGACACTCTAGAAAATACGATTAACTTGTCAGTACAGGAAATATTCAGGTATCGTTTCATGGGATGAGTAACCCGACAGAGATTGAGGGTGATCCTGATTATTAATAGTACAAATACAAAAACATTACAAATAAAAATATTCACTTAGAAGATGTCCCCTAAAATTACTTCGGACATTTCTATCAATAATCCAAAATACTGATAACTGAATAACTGTAATATCCATATGAAAGGGATCTTAGGTATTAACGTTTCAATGTTGTTAAACACAACATTTTGAACGTCCTGTTTGTGTACATGGACACTCAAAAACACTAGTACACTTCATTGGCACGATTGTTATTGAAGCTTGAGAAGAATTTCGTCGGCCAAACTTTCATTCAAATACAATTCACTTCATATAAGATATGCAAATCGATGGAAATGTCCTACATGTTTTTTATCAAACAAAATAAAGCTGATTTAATTTCATTATTTTTCAGAGTTTTATGAAGATGAGAGCATTATCGAATAGTCTATAGTGTAAACTTAGCACTGAAGTTAAATTGAACCTTCTCATTTGTATGCTACATAGGAACTTCATAATCTAAAGAAAAGTAATGATTATTGTTCAACTTCTTAAATATGAATTACTTTTAAATGTTGAAATTCTGACATAATTAATTGTTTATCTGTCATTTCAAATAAACAAATTACTTATTGAATATTATTGTTAAAACAATGTATCACTAAAAAAACTCACCTAATTCGATCAATGAATTTTCTACTTTTATCACTAAAACGAATAGTATCTGGATCCCATTGTATTTCTAATGCTTCTAAATTTGGACAATATCCGGCAAAACTTTCCAGAATTTTATCAATATGAACTCGTGTGTTGTATTTATAAAACCAACCATGTGATGCTCCAAGTACACAAACCCTGATCCAGTTCACAAAAAAAAGAGAATTTTAATTATTTTATATAAAATGATGTAATTTAAAACAAAAGTAGCCATTCATAAAATAGCGCGGTTGAGTAACATAGAAGATAGACTACTAAATAGAATAACTCATGAAATAAGACTGAAGAAAAAAATGTATTTTGTAGCAGTTGCTGAACATCTAAGGTAAAGTGTTTTGTAACCGATTTTATAACCCCAAACATGTTATAGCAAAGCTTATAGTGTGAACAGTTTGTTTCTAGGTGTAAAATTATTCAAGTACTAGCGAAATAGTTCATAAGGTATTTTTGGTTGCCTTAAGCAATACGGAAAGACGAAGTTTATAGAGTAACTCACTCTTCACTTTTCTTTTGGTTAGAAACCTTCGTATTTTAAAATAAAGTTTAGTTTATCGTTCTTTTATTTTTACATGTTTCCTAATGATATGTGGAGCGATATTGTTAGTGATAGTATTTTGCTTAGAAATAATACTGCTTAAAAGTGCTTTATTCAATCCTTATATGTACCATGTTGTCTTTAGGGAAATAGGGCTTTAACAAAATATGAAGACCTCTTACTAAACTACTGATTACTAATTTATAAGAAAGGAACAAAATATTGATGTGAACTTAGATGGCTCTCTGTAGGTGTTAAATATGCTCAAGTTATGGAGAAATACGTCCATGAAATATTTTATAACTGCATCATATCTTCTTAGAATTCTTAAAAATATATATTTACCCTAAACAGTTGTTAGAAAGGTTAAAATGATTGTCACTGTGGATGATACCGTTATTTCTAAAAGCCTAATAATTTGACAAAATATATGAATTATCTTTTCGTTACTTTACGTTTTTCTCCAAGTATTATTTTACGATCGCCTTTTCTAATTTTATAGCTTTAAATTTGGTTCATTTATATACCATCAGACAAGGTGATTTTACTTTGAACAAACACCTCTTGGAACTGTATTAGAAAAATCCGTATAACTACAATTCACTGACCGTTGTGAAATGTATGTTTATCTACGTAGAAAACAATCATCAAGTACACTTAGACATTTGGATATCGATATCTTACTGGTCTAAAGAATAATAATCCTTGCTATTATACTGCTTAGAGTAGATCACAATTTATGTTTGATTGTATTAAATGAGCAAGGTCGTTTTACAAGAGTGTTATCAAAACTAAAACGATGTTTTAAAAAAAAACAGAATTTTGTGATGCATCAGTCAGCTTATTGCGATTTAAAAAATATCGCTTACATTTATTACCTCTTTTCAGATTTTCTTGTGCCCACATTATTTATTACTTTTACAAGTTTCAATCGTCTATTTTTTCAACTTTATTCATCTTCTGAAATTTTACAACTATCTTCCAACGTCAGTGGTCATGTCTTTGCACACCAGACGTAGTTAACTCCTCCATTCAGAACTTTCTATAAGACTTCTCAGAATCTATCTCAAACCTTTAAATACTAGTAGACATAGTAGTTAATCTATGAAATATTTTGAAGGCTTCCTGTTCTGAATCAAAAGTCCTCTGGTACTACTTAGTTTTTAGCGATTTTTTCTTCAATAAAAGCCTAAAGATTAAATTATCTTAAAAAAAATTTTCACAAACCACCAAAATAAATAAATATTGCGGAGTAATAAGGAATGAAATCCATACTTTATCGCACCAAGATATGGAATCACAGTAGTCCAAAAATACTCAGCTAAAGTAGCTTTTCCATGTAGCATAAGACCATGTAACTGATGACCATGAATCTTAAGAAGATTTGTTATGGACTGTTCGTTAAGTGCCGGTGTATGACTCAAATCAATAGCTTTGACTTGCTTAAATTTACCACTGTCGCATAGTGTATTCAATATCTAGAAAAACAAATAGTGTGATTATTAAATTGAAATTTGCAATTGTTAACTAGTTCATATATTACCAAAACATGAAGTTGGCTACTTCAGATCTTTCGGGAGTTAAAAAAGCCGACAATATTTTTCAATGAAGGTTTCTAAATAATTATATTGTAGACAGTGTTGTTACAGGCTATTTTGAAACACAGGAAAAATGGAATATAAATGGGTAAAACATTTTTAGTTTTATGGATAGTTTGTTCCTGTATTCAATAAATTAAAAGCATTTCATTTTCTTCTGTATTTCTTGACTTTTTAAAATTATTATAAATGAACAGTTAAAGAGATAGCATTGAATTCTTACAAGTACGTCAGCTAATCGAAAGTACAATCTCTAGCTAAGTGTGGTTTTTAACACACTTCTTTAAGCTTTACCTGTACATAAAAAGACAACTTGAATTCAGTAAATGGTTAGTTGAAATAACCTGAAGTGCAAACCTTTTTAGAATAATAAACTCTTTTGCTGTACAGTACAAATTATTCTATTGCTTTAATTAAACTTGAAATGGATTGGATTATCCTGTTCTCCATATTTTGACTGAAACTTAATCTTAACTCCATGGTCGAGTGAATAATACGGATGCATTTGAAGCAAACGGCACTAGGTTCGAGTCCTTGAGTGAACAACAACTTGGATCCAAGTACATACAGCTGATGAATATCAAGTAGAGCAAAACACCTCCTGGATTGCGTCGCTAGCCACATTCCATCTATCCTATTTCATTGTTTGTTGAAATTTTTGCTACGGTGGAGTTTAAAAATAAAATCAAATACATTTCAACCTTCTCATGATTGTAGTTATTGAGTAAATGGACTAGTAAATCAAAAGAACGTTCTAAATTTTAAAAATACAATCATAAGTTGTCATATGTTTAGCAACGAGTAAATTAATATAATTTCGAAAAATTTATACATTACTTACATGATCAGTAAAAAAATCTGTATGACCTGCTGCCAAATAAGTAAAATATGGTATACGTGTTAAGAAGTTTTCAAGGCATTCAGCAGATAATTCTGTAGATGTTATATCAAGTTCACAGATTCCTGAATTTTCCCATGGTACAGCCATCATAAATTCATCTTTGAGACCTTGTACAAATAAATCACAATTAGAATTATCAATAAACCAATTAATACAAGTATATAACACACATAATTGATAGGAAAAAAACCTCACCAACGATACTATAAAAATTACATCACTCTAAAACCGTTTGTTGTATAAAAAAAAGAAGATATTCATTCCTTGATAATCTTTCATATTAATAGTTCCAATAAAATTAGTACATTTTCATAATACGATCATTCGGGACAGATATAGATTAGTATCGTTTGAATGTTAAGATCAAAATGTTATTTGAAAATTCATTTTGTATGTAGGTAAATGTAAAGCTTAAAAATTATCTCATGTTCTCCATAGCCTCTCATAAAATGAAATATCATTTCGTTTTGTTAAATAACTAATAAATGTTCCGATTTTGAGTGGTTTTTCTATCCCTACTCATTAGGTTCTACATATGATCCATAGTATCTAAGGTATTCGCTCAGGATGCACATACTAAAGCAGAGATTGATCACTTATAGATCTAGATAATAAAAACGTAGCATTACAAAGATTTACTAATACCTTTGAAAACATTGAATATGCCAGTGACTCATTGGGGTAAATATTTAAATAGGCAAGGTAATGGAGTTTTAAGTAGTATGTTCGAATACCACTGTAGACATCAACATCAGAATCCATGTACATACTTCTAATAAGTCCCAGACAGGATGAAATGCGCGTTCTGGATACCACCTACAATTTACTTCTAATTTAGCACATAAAGTAATTTGTTTAGGAACTCGCAAAGTTTTTTGATCACTTTTTATAGGATTCAATAATTTTCTATTTTAATTATAAACTTATGTATTCTAAATCTCAAAAAACGATTGTACAGTTTTAGAAAATGATATCATTGATGAGAAAATTTCTTTAGTTGAATCGTCTTTATTTATTCTTCTGTAAGTCAGTGTGTTATTCTCAAATAAAATGAGACAAATTCACTTGGTATTGTTTTCTTGTATCTTTCCATTGTTATTTAGGACTGCAATTGATCAGTCTCTGGTTAGCATATGTGCATCCTGTGTGGACTGCCTCGATATTGCCCTAAGTCACAAGCTTTATATGCAAAGATGGATAGTGTCTAGCAGTGGAAACTAGCACGCGCGTTTCATCCTGTTTGGGACTCATCAGTTGGATGTGCCTGCACCTCAGAGTACATCAAGACAGTACAGACAGTTTCAACAAATGATGAGTGAAAAGATTTTTCATAAGTATGATTCATTTTACTCCAGATTAGCTTTTTATTCAGATAACTTTTGAAATGATCAAGACATGTTGCATCAAATGTTTACCTTCCAATTTCTACAATAAAACATGCTGTATTTAAATTGACAAAGTATACAAATTTACATAAGAATATAAGCTACTATAGTAATGCATTATTTTAAATAAAAACTTTAGAATGAAAATTTTCTCTCACCACAATGTTCTAGAAGTAGGGTTGTCAACTTTTTACAATTCGCGATCAATAATGTAAATGATGAACCCTTAACATTTAGACAAAAATTAAGCGCGACACATTCTAAATGAATACAATTACTGGCTAATAATTCCACATGACTATCTTCAATGAAGTTGATACCAAATAAATTGATAACACGTAAATTAGGTGTATGGGCTTTAATTTTACTTATATTGATGACCTGAAAAAATAAGTAAGGAAAAGAAAATATGTGATAAATGTCTACTTTCAGTTTCCTCAGTCACTATTTTAATCCATAAGTTAGCGAAGGCACAGTGTAAATTTATCAAGCTATTGTAAATTTTCAATAACCTACATCCATTTTCTAAAAAAAATCACTAATAATCAACTGCTGTGATCTATCTTCACACTTTTAGACTGTTGCCACATATTACTAACATTTCTGAGGTGATCACAGTACAATATGATGGTATATAACTACAACTATGAGAATAACACAAATATTAATGAAGAGAAAATTAAATAGAATTGGTACTTTCCCAATTATACTAACCGTCATATTTATAGTGACAATTAGGAGTCTAATTTATCAGCTAGAAAACCAAACGGTGCTAAGTTTTATTATGGCAATCTTGAGTTCACAAAAATAGATTTTATATCATTAACTAAAGACATAATCTAACAAGAAATAATTTCTACTATTTCCTAAGCTATATTAAACAATAATGAGGAAGAATATATTTGTAAAATCTCAGCGAATGAATTTGAAGTAAATCCAACGTTTTGCCTAGCAATCTGGTCCTAGCCTTTTCAAGGAAATAAATAGTATAACTAAATGGCAAACAAATTTTAACTTTTGAAGTCAAGAGACGTAACAAGATACTCAATTTTTCACTTTATGTTTCATTATCCTTATTATCAAGAGTCTACCATGTACTCAATTTATTTTAAATTATCGATTCAAACCTTGGCGTTTCATATCGCCTTCTGAATTCGTACACTATGGCATTTGTTTATTAACGGTTATCATGTTGGTTGATCTAAGAAGCCCAAGAAATTATTTCGAAGCTAAGCCACTAAAAATTAAACTCCCTCATGTATAAAACAGCATGATACTGAACATCATTTTGTCGTTTGTATTTGAAATTAACAATTATGTACTGAGAGAGATTTATATAAAACAGATTATTAGTTCAAATCACCTAAACATTGCAAGCTGGCTTGTACTAAACCATCAAAACAAAACTTAATTGAATGTGTGGAAGCTACTCTAAAGTCATACTGGCTATAATAATATTTTTTCTAGAGTATACTTATAAGAGTAATAATTACATTACATTGTTATTTACACAATGATTCCTGGAATGGTTTATAAAGAGTTATAAAATTAAAGATTATTTTCAAATATTTAAAAGACTCCATAAAATGATGAATAGAGCAGTTGACAATTGCTTTAACCTTATGACAGATAAAAATATATGTAAACATACATTTGATGGCTTTAATGTGTAATAAATAGACCTAGAAATAAAATGGGGAGAATAAAAACAATACGTAGTCACTGTTACTCACCTACTCAATATATACAGTATATTCTACGATTGCATTGCATTTTAATTTTAAAAAATACATCTACAATCTACATTGATTTACATAAAAATTTCTGCCTAAAATGTGTATAGTTTGCACTCATATGTATCAACAGTGTCGACGTTTTTTATTGTCATTCATGTAATACATAGTGTATATTAGTTATGTCCATAACTAACAAATCAAATTGTTGCTTAAGCTCACGTCACGTCAATCTGGTCTGATGTGTCTGCAAACTATCCTTGTTGCATGTGATCTGTCAATTGAAAGATATTATTATCCTATTATATTAGTGTGAATCATAATTTTTATTCATTTTGATAAGACACACAATACTGGTCGGTATGTTTGTGCGTTTCATTTAATAACTATAATCCCTTTAGTTATTGTACTAATCAAATTGTTATTTTTACGTTTAGAAACAGATCAAGTTTGAAGCCAAGTTATCCTTCATCTGACCATAGCTTTCATATGGACTCTGAGGTCGCCAGTATCGCGTTTATAATTCTAGCAGAATATCTGTAAGACAAATTAAATCCTACAATGTATAAGTTTAAATTCTACAGTAATAAATAATTTCCATCCCTGAAAAAAGAACGATTCTCATTTTAAATTCCTAATTTTTCTTTACTATATTCTATTTAAGATTTCTGATTAAGCTAAAAGCGATTGGTTGAAAATTGTGATGACCTCAAACATATCATCGAGCTACTGTTGCTAGAGCATTTGCTTTCAACTCCAAAAAATATACGACCTTACTTGACGACATACCCTTCGAAGATTCCCTTAATAACTCATAAAACTCGATTCATTTATGCAAACAATTTATGTAACTAGTATATATCCTTATTTATAGTGTAAAATATCTTCTTTTTACCAACATGAGTTTCAAGGTCTCAAAATAAATGAAACTGTGCGTATTCACTGGATCCTGAATAATGTTGAATTTTCTGTCCTTTTTCTAAATAGATTGTCTATTTTTCTCTAAAAAAACATTTGGTTTGTTTGCTAGCTGATTATTTAGCATATAAGAGTGCGTAGATGTTTTATCCAAGATTGAAATTACTTAAATACACAGAAGAATTTTTTAGAAAAAAAACTACTCTCACAACTCACTTCATAAATTTCTTCTTCTTCCTCTGTGGCTAATTCAAATGTTCCTTTAAATAAATAAAAGAAACATTCTATGGTTAAGTTTTTTATTAAATTTCTTTATTTAATTACCTTAGATAAACAACTGGTCTTGTGATTTGTAAAATTGATGTTTTACTAGAGGTAAGTATTAATAAAATCACATTTCATGATAGATCATAATGAGCACCGAGTCAAACTTATTCCATGATTTACGTCAGCTCAACTCTGTATATCCAGTCTGTTGTGAACGAGAACACAGGTAAGGGATAAACAATGTACTTTAATACGAAGTTACAGAGTATCCTGGTAAAATATAAGAACCATGTATTGAATACTTCATTTGAAAATTTTCATCATTTGTCCTTCACATTCTGTATGATTCTTTCTATTCCAAATTCATCGCAATTTCATTTTATATCCTCTTCAACTTGATCTTTTTTTTGCCTTTTACTGCCAGGGTTTCTACTTCCGATTGATGTTACATGCTACTTATGCCTGTTAATATAAGTAGCATATAATACAATTCTACCATCCAATCAACTGTTTTCTTAGCTAACACTCACATTTAGCCAATATCTACGTATCAGGTAGAAATTTGAACAAATAGTTGTGATTTCTAGAATTTATCAAACACACACTATTTAACAAAATGGATTGTATTTTAGTATTCTGAAATCGAAATGCTTAAACAACATTTATTATAATTGTTTACTTATTTACAAGGTTTAATACTTTGATTTCTTATCTGTGTGATATTTAATGCATTGAATTTCTAAATCACATTTTATTTTATGTTTCTTTCTGCATACTTCTTTTTATATAGTGTACTTGCAATTGGCTTTTATTCAAAAGTGTATTTATTATTTATTTATTTATTTGAGCACATAAATATTGGTATATAGAGGCACTGAATATATATACGTCACACAAGTCACTTGATTTGTGTATGGGCTGTAATATTGTCCGGGTGCCCAGGTCGTAGAAGGCGGTTTTCCTAAGGAACCACACCTGGAGCCTTTGATCTAAAGGTCTGATCCACAATGTAGTAGAGCAACGTCAGGAGATGCGGCCCCATGGTAGCAGGTGACCAGCAATAGGTTCATACACCATTTGTTCCCTCAGGATGATGAAGCCCATGTGCACCATTGGTTTGGAATTAGGGTTTTCCAACTCTTCTAAGTGAATCCTCCATATCCACCAACCCGATTATAGCGCCGAACATTCACTTTTCGTCCTCTCAATTTCGTAAACAACACTCCCGTCGCGAGAAAGCGGGGTACATTATCTTGATGACGTTTATGGCTCATTGTAGGCAACCATTAACTATTCAAACGTTTTCAATAGTGCAATATATATATATATACAGTTATGTTTACATGATATATTTCATTACTTCTTCAAATGAAATTGAATGTTTATCCTTTCTAGTAAAGAGAATAACAATTTCAGAATTTCTATGATGTGAATTAAGTAAACAAATGTAAAAAAATGGTATATTTATTACTATCACAACAACGTTTTTCTTTAATGAACCATATGACAGGATGAATATTTTGGAAAATAAACTAGAATCAGTTAGATTTTTGTAAATGTTTAAACTTTCAGTAAATTTTGTTTATGGAAGTAAACATTTTTTCTTTTTCTTCTTTTTTCTTTTTTTTTTGTTGATTTTCATGTCAATTTTGTAGATTGAACTTTTTGTTTTGTAAAATGGTCACTATTTAAAACTATGTATCACTTGTATATATAACATACTTTATTCAGTTGAATACAAAAACAATATGTACTTACTAAATTAGTTCACTTAATAAATAGAAGACAACTAGCTTTTTAATGTAATACAGTGATTTCTACTAACTTAACCGTAATTTTACATTAGATTAATAACAGAATCGATGTTAGTAAAACTCAAACGCCTAAATATATTCAGAATAGTGGAAAAATTTTCTCTAAATCCTTTAATATGAATAGATGGTTTTACTTTAAAGTTGTAGTAAGGTAAACAAATGTTTTCAAACAAGTATAGTTTTTTTTAATGTGAGGGCTTTGTGGAGACTGCTGAGCTTGATAGTTTACGATACAAAATGACCGTATATAAACAATCACTTAAAGCAGCAAGTACCAGACACTTGTTTCGTCCTAGTTTTAGACTACTGAGCAATGAGCACTCATGGCCTCAGTGAAGATTTAAACAAAGGACTTCAAATCTTACGGAGAGCGTATCTTGTATTTGATCCACTGCAGGACCGTAGATACTGATTAAGATGAAATAACTGCCAGTTGCTTGTCAGTGGCTGTCAATCTATCTTTTATTAGTAAAACACTGTAGTCCGTCGAATGAATTGCGGATGATATTGACGATTTTCTCAGGTACTCCATAATGTCGAAGAAGTTTCCATAATGTTCTCCTATCCACAATGTCAAACCACTTCTCATAAGCACTGAAGTTGATGTATAGTGACAAGTTCCTTTCAAATGATTACTCAACGATGACCCGTAGTGTCGCAATTTGGTCTGTGAACGACCGATCTTTGCGAGATCCAGCCTGTTAATCTCGAAGTTGGGCGTCTACTGCCTCTTTCATCCGGTTGAGCAACACTCTGTTGAAAACGTTTTCTGGTACTGACAGTAGTGTCATTCCTCTGTAGTTATCACACTTGCTGAAATCGCCTTTCTTTGGTATCTTGATGACGTATTCTTCTTGAATTCGTTGAGTTTGTCAGTATCTCGAAGGAAAGCTGTACTAAACTTTTGTAATGTTGTTCCCCAGTTGTCCATTGCCTCTTTAGCATCAGTTTCATCTTGGCAACCACAATCAGGTGGTGGTTAGAAGATATTTCAGCTCCTCTCCCCGTTCTTCCGTCTTCCATTGACCTTCTCAATTGAACAGTGATACAAATATGATTGATCTGGTTTTATTTAGTGTAATTCGGTGAAATCCATGTAGCTTTGTGCGGGAATATTGTGCCCCCTATAACTAATTTATTGAATGTACATAGATTTGCAAATCTTTCGCCAGTCTCTCTCCTTTCTCCTTATCCATGTCGTCCCATGATATCTTTATATCTGGTGTTGTTCATTTCGACTTTGGCGTTTAGGTCTCCCATCAGGATTGTCAGGTTCTTTCCTGGGCACTTCGATATGATCGATTGCAGCCTTTCATAGAACTGATCTTTATTGTCGTCGTTCCTATCATTAGTGGGTGCATAACACTGGATAACATTCATTGTAATTCCCTCCTTCTTTGTTTAGAAGGATACTCTGATGATTCTGGATCCATGAGATTCCCATCCTATGAGTGCTTTACGTGCTTCTTCGGACAACATTAGACCAACTTTTTGTGTGGGTGGAGAATTTTCTTCCTCGTGATCAGAGAAAAGCATCATTTCTTTAGTACCTTCCCTTTTCTGTCCATCTTGAGTACAATGGGTTCCACCTATTCCGAGCATCGTCAAGTTGTATCTCTTCATTTCTGTAGCTATTTCGTCTGCCCTGTCAGTCTCCCGCATTGTCCGGACGTTCCATGTACGTATAAAAATCACTGAACTGGCTGCTAGAAGGAGCATCGGCCTTAATACAATTAGAATCAATCCTAAGGATTTTTAGACTTTTACTGAAAGTGATGAGTGAAATTGTCTTTGAAAGACGTAGTCTTAAAACTACCAACGTTTGGTTTGTATTGTTGTTATTTAAGTAAGAAATAATTTAGACTTATATGTATGAAAATAAATAACTTTAAAAGCCTGATAACTATTTTACTAAAACTCTCTATTGTCAATAGGAAGACACAATATTCATCTCATTTGGTTATACCCTACGTATTTATTGTTTATGTATATTATGCGGTCACGTCTTTAAAAGCTTTTCCATTGATAAAAGACTATGAGTTTGAAGTATTGACTCTGACTGTTCGGATTAATCTTTTATTCTTGCATTTATGCAACATGTCTAAACAGAAATTAAAAATCTTAGTCACTATCATCTCTATTATTTTTTTATCTACGACCTTGAATCGCACTTGGTGTGCAAAATTAGTGGTGAAACCTAGCTGCTGAAACCTGAGTCTGAGGATACGATTTCTTAGCTGACATACACGATTATTGAACATTGAATCACGAATCGATAAAAGAAATATGTTTCCATGTTTATTTATGAGCTATCAAAAAATTATGATAATGAATGTTTTAATTTTCGTTATACTCCGAAAAACATTCTAATTTTTGAATGAGCTCAACAAGAACTTACCAATTAAGTGCAAAATTTCAACCGCTGATAAACATGAATAGATTTTTCTCATTAAACCTTCCATAAATATCACATCACTTAAACAAATACATAAATATTTAATTGATGAAGGGAATGAAGCCAATTCGTTGAAATCATGTAGTTGCATAGCATTAGAAAAATCTAGAGTTAAATAGCGAAGATTTGGACATCGATTTCCAAGTTCCTCTAAAACTGGTATAGTGACTAGATCGCTGGATAGTTCAATACACCTTAACCCACTTCCAGACCTATGATGAATGAGATTTAATAGCTCATCAATTGACCTTACCTGAAAAAAATTAAAGTTTTAGACAAAATCATCGTGATAAGTATAGTGTGCTGCATATTAAACGAACGATTATAATTTATACTAAAAGAAGTTGATTATAGAGTTATGTTCATCAAGTGATCGTGATTCTGATTAACTGAATGAGGTAGACAATTATGATAAATACACAACTTTCAAGTATACATAAAGGTATTATTGACTGCTAAGGGATTTCTCATTTGAACTGTAGCTAGTTATGTTATCACAAGCCTACAAGCAAGTCAACAACACAAATTTATGTTGTTCAGTAATTGATTGTTTTACAAACTTATTATTTGTACTGCAGAGAATATGTTGTCAGCTAACAATGTTTATAACACTAGCTTTTTCTGTAAGAAGCTTGGTAGTAATGAGCACTTTCATCATAATCTCTTTGGGCTTCCATCAAACGTGAAACTCAAAAACTAGAACTTTACCTATCAGAAACTTACATTCACTTCATTAATGACTGTGATATATATATATATATATATATATATATATATATATATATATATATATATATATATATATAGCTTTAACTTAATTCACAATTTTACCAAACATCCAGGAGATGAAAGACCCTATCAAGTCACGTTTAAAAATACACCTGGTGAGTGGACAAAACAAAAAAACTGGTTAAAATCATTCATACTTGAGTGAAAAGGCAACCCGCTGGCTCTCATTACTGTCGTTTATGATACTTATCATTCACTCAATGATGATTAAATTTGTGCTAAAATAATCCGATGAGCATAGATTGAAGTTGGAATAAAAAGAATTTGAACGATTCCTTATAAATACCTTAGAAACATATTGTCTAAATAAATACTTTTCTTTTAATTACATTTAATCATTGGAATATTTTAGACTGTATTCGTTGCATATATTAGGATGAGTGAGAAATCTGAAGAAAATTCGTTTTCGTTTTAACCATGGTCAGATAACATTAAAATGTAGTCGTTTTGTTTTTCAAACAATACCCCATGTGAACAAATGTTCGTCTTATTGGGTTACAAGATATATTATGTCAGTAAGAATTACCTTATTCGTTTGAATGCCACCAAACAACATCTGTTGTTAAATATGTCTGTTAGCAGATTGTAATTGACTGTTCAAATCTCTTAATGTTGATAGTAAGTTATAAAATAATAGCTTTACACTATTTAATTATACATACTTAAGCGTGTTCATCAAGTCCTTAACGTTGATATTAATAACTCTATATGTTCAAACTGAACTATTATGATTTAGTCAGTGATTATCTGACAAATGCTACACTTTACAAGTGGTACATTTTACTATATTAATTAAAAGGTTAAAGAAATTACATTTATCGAAAATGTAATTAACTTGATAATTGTTGAAAGGAGTTAAATGTTACTGATTGTTTGATCTAGTATATCATTAGTCACTTGGAAATAACCTAATCAACGAAAGCCTTTTAGTTCAAGCTATTTTATTCTAACTTGAATGAATTTGATTGTGAAACAACGAAGCTAGAATTCATCCCAGTCCCTTTCAAATGATCTACCTTATTGTAAATTATCAATATCATATCATCATCAGTAAAATGCATTTTCTATTTATTTATATTTTAGTTAAATAAATAATCTATAAAATGTGATTTTGTTGACACAATTCATTAAGGTTTCGCCAATACACTTATCAGTACCTCTATTTCCGCACAAGCATGATTGTATGTACAATAGGAGATCGTGTAGTTTTAACCAATGTTGCGCTGTATTGTCATTACCGATTATATTATGTAAGATGATTTTTTTACTTATTCATAAAAATAAATATCATAACATTGCAGAAGACCTTTCTGTTGTTAAATTATTGGCAGGGAAAAGCAAAAGGCTTTCAAAAATTGAAAAACGTATAAATTCAGTCCATTTGACTAAGTCCACTCATCGTCACCTCATTTCATCAATTTGACATACAAAAATGCTTCAACATACAAGATTCTACAAGTATACAATAATTAACCAATCTCTATACATATTTCATTGCAGGTCACTTTTTATCTCATATGACTTAAAAGTATTCTAGTATAGCAAAAGTAAGTAACCATAATTATATAAACTTTAGTTTGACTAGATAATTTGTCGAGATTATAATTTATGGACGACCTTCGAGCGACGCTGAAGTGGTCTTGAGAATGTTCACCAACTGACTAGGGCTAAATGTGGAGGATAAGGACTGTGATTTAAAGTTGATGGTTAATGTTACGAATTGGATTTAGGTTTTTCATCACGAACTGAAATCAGCTAAAATGACAAAACTCTGTTTAGCCGAATGGATGAGTGAACTTCGCTTTAATATCCGAAACTTTTTATCTTACACCTGATTCGTTCGTTCATAAATTATAATCTCGTCAATAATTTCACTGGTTATTTGATTTATATTTATCATCGAAATCACTTTAAAAATTCACTCACAAATATTCCACCATATTCAGGTCGTAAATTAAGTGACTGCCACAATGAATGATCATATGCTAACCGACGCCACATTTTGCAAACACGTGCAATATTACACAATTCTGGATGACTTAAATGCGAAAAAATTTGCAGCATGATTTTCTCAGGTAAACGTGTTATTAAAAACTGAAGAAAAAATAGAGAAAATAAGATTAATTTAATCAAATGAAGTACAATAAAGCAATTAACATTGTATGTTTTTTATGGAGTTTTGTCCTCTGAGCTGGGTGGTTTGGTCGTGGAGTTAACATCATTCTTCTGAACGACATCATCAGCATGAATTTCAGGTATAAATTTTCTTCCATGGCCAAACCATCCAGCTCAGAGAACAAAACTCCATCAAAATCATCCGCCTGAGCTACAAATCTTCACCATCTCTTAACATTGTATGTAATAGACTCGTATAAACGATATTAACTTTTGTACAATAATTATTTATGTTGTCACCTATTGCATAACTTTATTCTTGCCCATCCATTGGGATTCAATTGTTGAATTAATTTTACCTCAGTCTTATTGATTGCTTATACAATCATTTATTTTTTTATCGTGATTACTAGTAATTGTGTCCTTCTTATACTTCTTTTTATATGATTAGATATTACACTATAATTTATATTTCCTTGTTCTGATAGTTTCTCTTACCGTTTACATTATTCATCACAATTTTATTAGCTAAAGAATGTAAAACGTTTGCTATTTATAATTCTAGGCAACTAGTAATTGATGACTGCAGCCCTGAAATAAAGTAGCATTATTTTATTCTTGTTACCTTTTTATTATTCATTTGTATAAACACTATGAATAGAACTAAGTATATAAAACCTAAACGTTTTCTAATGCGCTGACATTAAGAAACAATTAAATGGAAGACGATTGCAAGATATTGTGGGTTGGTTGAAGTCAAACATTAACACCAGCTCAGTGGTTTGGAGGTCAAGCATTCGCGCGCGAGACCGACGGTCTCGATTTCGAGTCCTGTATGGATGACCGTATATGTACACTGCTCAGGAGTCGCAAATTAGAACGGAATGGCCGTCTAGTTCTTCCAGGTTTTCAATGGTGGTCTAACATTGATCGATTCATGATCTTTATTTAAATGAAAGATTTATTTTTTTAAATTATCATTTAGAACCAAACATCAGATTCAGTATTTTTTTACATTTTACAACAGTTTGTCAGGTAACTTAAATTTTGAGTAAACCATTAAAAATAAAATATTTTTATATGTAAACTTCAAGATTTTATTTCAACATTAATCTAACAAAAATGAAATGGCACATTATCTGTTGTGGTTAGAGTTCAGTTTATTAAACCATCAGTATTTGTTAGTTCATCTGTTCACTAATGCTAAATACATTAGTTATATAATAGAGAATAGTTTAAAAAACAATACATTACATGTTTAAAAGCTTAACAACGAGTCGATAAGATTTGTTATAATAAAATACTGTCGTCAACACTTGGCTCTAATTTGTAATTAATTTATTTCTAATATAACGAAATAGAAAATGCTTTTCTTTTCAAAAAAAAATAACCAACAGGAAAGTAGATATCATTACCAAGATTTGACTTGAGAATTTTGATTCACTTGAGTATTGGGTAGATTGTTTTAAATTAGTCAATATATTTGTAATATTCCGATAAGTAGAAAAAATAGATTTTCTGACGTTTCGTGACTCAGTGTAAACCACTTCTTCAGAGAATAAATAACCAAATCAAAATTAATCCAAGTCTAAATAGTACCGTTTAAACTTGGACTAGTTTTGATTACATTTTGACATTACAAATATATTAATTAATTTACAACGAGGAAATAATTTGATGTTAAGTATATTTCAATAGTTTAAGTTGACTATAAACATTAAAACAATGATCATCTTAAATTTTAATAATAAAAAAATAATATTCGAAAATTTACAGAACTGAATTAGCTGCCAAATAAAGAAACTCATTGAAATGATCTAAAGGCTAATAGATAAAAACAAATAGATTCATCATCAACTGACTTCTTTTAATGTTAACCTATTAAGAATGAAATTTTGGACGGTTAATCACAAGATTTATGATACATACTTTTAATCAATACATATATTTCTTATTATCTTCAAATGTTCCAAGTTGAATTAGGCATAACTCAAAGAAAAAAACTTCAGAAAACTATACAATCAAGCTGAAGAGCAAAATTTCAGACTTTTGATACTCAAACAATTACTCGACCTTTTACCAGTATTTTATCCGAGTTCAATTTTTAGTCCTTTTTCATAAAGAAGAAATAGTTCTAACCGTCACATAGTAGATGAGCTTATAAAGTGAATAATAATTTAGATAAAACAATGAGAAGATGGAGTTAATCTGAAAAATGTGATGTATTTGCGCCATATAATGACTTAAAGATTACCAACCTTGAATTTACCTTGATAATCCTTAAGTCATTCTATGGCCTATGATAACGCTACAATTTCTAATACTTTTATATGGTGTAAAATTGTTTCTCTTCTCTTTCGTTCCTTTTTTCTTGAACTTTCATTTAGTTGACCTTTATTAATTTTCATATAGAATATCCTGGCAAGTATATATGTAACCAGATTGTTCGAAATATATCACGTAAATACATCACAGTTTTGTAGATCAACTCCATCTTCTCATTCTTTGTTCTATTAAAATTTATAAAATGGACTAATTGCTTTAAATAATAATTTAAATAAATTTTAAAATAAGCCAATTATAAAATCAATTTTTTAATCAGTTCAAACAAACAAAAAAAAATTATGACATACATCTTCATTAAATACTGATGTTCTACGAAAATTCGATGCTCTTCTCAAATCTCTCACTACATCCATAATTGATTTGGAAGTCATTATTTTTGAAGAAAAATATTGTATATTATTTAAAATAAATAGAATAAATCCACAGTATTGTAATTTGTAATGCACAATTGTGTTAATTTATGATAAATAATATTTTAAAAAAAATAGGGAAATTTTATTCATTTCATATGAAGCACTGATTGGTTCAAATTTACACAATTATTCTAGTCTGGATTGTTCAATTTTCAACTAATCAATATATACATGTATATGTGCACAAAAATGTTGTTCATCTTCATGTTTATCGTTAGGCAAAAATATCATAAAGAAATTATCATTGTTATTATTATTATTATTAAAACCAGTTCATTGGCCTCGTAAGGATCCTATTGATTATTTTTTTCCTTCTTCTTCTTCTTCTTCAATTTACATATGAAAATTGAAAATGTCTTGACTAACTATAACAAATCTTTATTAACTAAGTGTATCTTGACAACTAGTAATCAAAGAAACTTTTAAATGGTAACAAAAATGAAATATTTTTAACGTGTTTTCTGTTTACCTGTCAGATATCGAGTATTATGGAGTGTTTGTGTTCAGTGTCATTTTGTTTTATGTCATATAATTTCTAGTGTTGATAATTCTAGGTACCGTTAAATGTGTTATATAAATATGATACTTAAATATAAATAATTAAATTAGTACTACTGATTTAAATTTATGTTTATTACTATGAATGTTTTTCAACCATAAATTACAGAAACTTAGAAATCATCATCAAACTAATTAATTAATATATCAATTTAGGTACTGGAAAAAGATTTAAATTTTAAACACCAGTGCTTTTCTTTGAAATCGAGGTTCAGTTAAGAAAATCTATAACTGAATATTGAATAAATACAGAAGTTTTACTGAATCTATTTCTGACATTTAGTGAAAGAACAGGGTCAAACTTTCAGCTACAAATCTTTTCTACCATATATGCATGAAATTAAACAATATGTCAGTAAACAGTTAAAAACATTATTAAAAATGAGTGAATTCAAGAGATTGTGTTTTTATCCCAGTCACTAGACGAACTGACTGAATAATTATTTACAAAATGGGTAGGTGCTAGGTTTGAAGTCGTTACGAGTTCACTTCATCTGAGAACGGAACAAGGACTTGGTGACCAAAGACCAATAAGCTAGCTATTCGATGCGTCTCAGCCCCGCTAACTAGAGGAAGAAGTCAAAACTTGAAATGGGGAAGTATATTCCACAAAAGCCAGAAGCAAGAGCGATAACAACAGACACAAATCAAAACGTATATATACAAGACAAAACCATCCTTGGGGAGAGTTACAAAATAGCATACTAAAAGACACAACAGACCAATAGCATTTAAGATTCTCCCTATTGGGAAATACGACATGAAGGTGAAAAGAGCGCTTTTGGTGCGTAAACAAAGAAATTAAAATCCTCTAAATAAAATCACAAAATTAGGTCCTTTTCCAAGTGAGTTCTGGGGATCTAACGTCCCCAACAGTAGGATATTGTGAAGAATCTAGGGTTAGCGCGCTACGTGTAGAAATATTCAGAATAATCAAGTCTAGTTAAGTACCTAAGACATGATATGCCTAATCAAGACTAACTCATTCAAATACTATAAATTTGGATAACAAAATACATTTGGATTCTATCTAAAAACACTACTGAACAAAACTTCTGATTAGCATTTTGTTTCACTTAATCGTGAGGCAATAAGGCCGTTCTGTTGTATCATCTTGCTCAAATTATCAGTTCGTCTAGGAATTATTCACACTCCTAATCTTAAAGTTAGAATGACACAAGGCAAATGTTTTAAGTTCTCATCGATTAATGCAATATTTCACCAAATATATTGATTACAACCACTTTTATTCCTTTTATTTAGACTTACTTCCATTTTCACCACACCTTTTGTTTGATCGTAGAACGATTTATAACTTTATTAATACAATCCTATCAGATTAATGTGTGTTCAGCGTTAAAAAATCAAAAATTTTCGTTAAGATACTATCACGTAAATTTTCTTCCTAGGAACAGGATTGAAGTATAACCTGACTCATAAATGATTAATAAAATTGACATACACATATATTAAATTAATGTATCAAAAGTATTGGTGGGCGGACTTTTAATATGTGTGTATTACAAGGAATGTTTCTAAAGTCTAGTAGTCCCCAAGTTAAACACTATGTTTATTAGATGGTGGTTGGAGGTAGTCAACAGGAAACCCTGGACCCGGGTTTCGTGCTACTTGGCACTCGTCAGCAAGGTGTACCTGTAATCT